GAACGCCTACATTCCTTGCATTCTACTCTACCTGGCGGTCACTCATGCCCTTTTTGCCTGTTCTGTCTGCACCTGTCGTGTGACCATCCCACTAAACGTGCCATCCACGACTTGCTCAGCATTGTGGATACTCCACAGTCATTTCAGCTGCAGCTCTAACTCTGAAACACAGTAGCTGCAGTCAGCTAATAGCTGCAGCTAGATACACTTCCTGCACATGTGGTCACCAGGGACAACTGAATTTGCCACATGATTTGCCACATAACACAGTAGGAGCATACCATGGGTGTAAGCTCTGCATTCTACATTTCCCTGCATTGACCTTCATCTGACACCAGTTAACCCATTCCACCACTTGTCCATCCTCTGGTCCAAACAGCATCCTACTCTGTTTCCTGTCAGTCAGCCAATTTTGTACCATTGTTGCTACTGCCCTCTTTATTCCATGCTCAAATATTTGTTGTGCAGGGTTATAGCAAATACCTTTTGTCAGACGTACCTCATCAACCTCTTCAAAACCTGTTTGATCTTCAAAAACTCCAGTAAATTAGCAAAACATTGTTTATATAAATTTTGTTGGGCAAAATAATTTGAATGAGAATTTAGGAGACATGATTTTGCGGATGGACAGCAGACATATTCCCAAAAACATGCTGTGTGGTCAGCGTGCCATCTGCATGACACCAGTATGTCACCTACATCCACAGTACAATCATGTCTATAAGCAAGACTTCAAGTTGATTGGGATCAAAGTCAATACGTGGAAATTCCTTGCGGCTGACTGGAGATTCTGGAGACCAGTGGTCAGGAAGGATGTAGATAATGCAGAGGACAACAGAAATGATCAGAATGCATAATGATAACTCACTGAGGAAATAAATTCACCCGACCAACATGATTCATCTGTGCCAGCTGCATCTACAGCCACAACAGATAAGAATCAATTCAGAAAAAGTAATGATGGCACTGGATAAAATGTATCATTTCTTTGACAACAAGCTGTCAATTAGTGGACATTACATGCAGCATTCATCAGAGCAAATAGTAAATGGTAATTTGTAAGTAATTTGGGTATCAAAAAGTACCATAAACAAACAGCAGTAGGATAAACATTAAATGTTGAAACAAAGTGCTGGAGAAACTCAGCACATCTGGCAGCATCTGTGGAAAAACAAGGTGAGTCAATGGTTTGCGCCCAGTGTGATTTTAAGGTGATTTAGACAAGTTGAGTGAGTGAGCAAATGCATAGCTGATGCAGTAAACTGTGGCTAAATGTGAAGTTATTCACTTTGGTGTAAAAAATAGAAGAGTATTATTTCAATGTTGATTATTGGAAAGTGAGGATCTACAAAGGAATCTGGGTGTCCTTGTACACCAGTTAATGAAAGTAGACAGGCAGGTAGGGCAAGCAATGAGAATGGCAAGTGGTATATTGGTCTTCATTGCAAGAAGGTTTCAGTTCTGAAGAAGAGATGTCTTACTGCAATTATACAGGGCCTTGGTGAGACCATACCTGAAGTTCTGAGTGCATAGATCTCCCTACCTCTGAAAGATATACTTTCCATAGAGTGAATGCAGTAGAAGTTCACTAGTCTTATATGGGAAATGACAAGACTGTCCCATGAGGAGAGATTGTTTTGACTGAGCCTGTATTCACTAGAGTTTAGAAGGAGAGGGGATCTGATTAAAATGCATAAAGTTCTCACAGGGTTGGACAGACTAGATGCAGGGAAGATGTTTTCCTTAGTTGGAGAGTCTCAGGATATGGTGTGGAAATTTAGGACTGAGATGGTGATGCAGATTTTCACTCAAAATGTAGTGAACTTGTGGAAATCACTACCTTAGAAGGCTGTGGAGACCAAGAATATCTTCAAATGATAGGTATATTTTTAGATTTTAAAGGCATTGAGAGGTATGAGGAGAAAGCGGGAATGTGGCATTGAGATCGACAATTGGCCATGAACAGCAGAACAAGCTGGAAGGGCTGAACAACCTACTGCTATTCCTAGTTTCTGTTGTTATTTGACACTTCTATGAGATATGATACTGAACTGTTTTTATTTCAAATTTATTTTTCAAAGGCTCTACTTATCAATTTCAGCTGCATTCCAACTGCTTACCAGTTTTGCCAATGGGTCATTTGTCTGTGCATAATGGATACAGGTAAAATGGGTATAGAGTTTGCATTGGGGGCATAGAAGAGGTATGAGGAAATGTGGACTATAGGTAGGTATATGGGGACGTGAGTGGGCGTCATGGGATCATGAAGTAGAAATGGGAAGTAGTGAAGGAGATGATGAGTGAGGGCTGGATGGTCTAACAACCATGTAGAGGAAAAACCCAAGGCTAGCCTGTTAACAAGCCTACCTCAGCATCTGTCTGCCTCTGTCACTGCTTTGGGCAAGGCTGGGGAGGTGGCAGATTCAAATCTTGAAATCCATTTCACCTAGCAACAAAAGCATTGTGGGAGTAGGAGGAGATGATGGGTTTGCTTTCAACTTGCTTTTGCCGGAATAGAGGGAAGGATCCAGCCCAGTGGTTAGGTAGACTTTGATATGTTGGGAATGTTTGAATCAATCGGCTGTGCAGTATAATCAAGACGTTCACATCAGAAAGTGTCTGCGTATTGTGATAGAGGATGAACCAGAATGTTTATATCTGTGTTGGATGATCTGCTGTTTTAATGGAATAAAGATGTTATGCAATTAAATTGCAATGTGTGATTCAAATATCACCAGGTCTGTCCACTTAGAATGATTGAGTTAAATTATGTGTTTACTAAATGGAATTCCTGCAATTTTTTCGGTGCTTTGGAAGTCACCTGTTCACTTGTCTGTGAAAGCTATTAATCAGTGACCTTGATTATTCTTTGCATTTGTAGATCAGTTGCCTTTATTTAATATGCATGTATATATTCTTTTACAAAGACCTGTTCAATGTTCCTCCTTTACTATGTTGAAAGCTAAACAGTGATGCAATATTGGGAGTTCACCTAGAATTATAAGGTCATAAGATATGGAAGTAGATGTTGGACCATTGATTTCAAACAGGGGAAATTCCTTGGTTGACTTCTAAGTACAGTGGAAGAACTGTGGAAACACCCATAAAATTGACAAGCACTGTTTATGCCATTTTTCAATGGATCTTACAGCAACATTATAGCAGACATGGAAGAACCATTGGTGTTTAATAATAATACCAGAAGGGATGATAAGAATACCAGCTCTGGGCTGAGGGGAAAGCTAAACTTGATGCAACTAGAAGTGAAATTTGAGAGATATTGACCCGTTGGAGGATTACTGGTATCTGTCAGGAAGAAAAGAGATGACAAGATCTGGGAGCAATGAGGAGAGAGGAATTGGCAGCACCAAGACAAGGGGAGAACAGTGGTCTGACAAAACTGAGGGGAGAATAAAGGTCTGACAGCAGGTGAGAACATATGCTAACACTGATTTAATTGGAAATATTTAATGGCAGAATACCAATATTCTGATAATGGCCTACAAGAAAGTAGTACTCCCTTCCTGATGTGTTGCAATGCTCCCTGTAACAAACATAGTTCCAATGCACCTCTGTATAATTCAATCTGAACAAGTCAGCTCTGCCTGACACATGGAAAAGATACCAAGCATTTTGCAGTCCATTCTCAGAGGCTTATTTTACACAAATTCCTCCAATGCTTCCCCACCTAAATTCCCACTTTCCATCTAGGAAAGACCAGTAATTACAAACCACCCATTAAAGTGTGAGGAAAAAGACCCAAATCAGGAGCATCCGATTGCTCCTTGCCCAACTTAACCCAGCGACCAGGAACAAACTGCGAAGTCCTTACACCTGTGTTCCTCTTAGTGTACCACATAGCATTGCTATTCTGTGAATTCTAAACCATGACCCATGGGCTAAAGCCCGAGCTATTCAACCTTGCAATCCCTAGTCCTTGATGCTATAGTATAGTGAGAAGCACCAAAGGAGCACTGAAGTATACCGATTGGAGTATGATAATCATGAGAAGGAAAGTGAAGGGTTCTCGGCTGAGAGTGAGATCTATGAGAGGAAGAATGAAGAGCATTGGGATGAAAGTGAAGAGTGCTAGAACAAGAATGAAGACGGCAAGAATAATTGTGATGAGTATGAGAGGAAGACTGAAGAATGAGGAGGACAGTGACTAGCATCAGGACGAGAGTAAAGAACGTCAGTGGATGAATAAGGAGCACTGGAATTAGAGTGAAGACCAGTTGTAGAAAAAGGAACAGTGATGAATATTAGAAAAATAGTGAGAAGGACCAGCAGATGAAAAGATTAAATGCCATATAATGGGGAGCACTTGCAGATACAAGCATGGGATAGGCTACTATAATTGAGATGAAGAATAATTGTCTACTGCTCCAAGGATCCCAGTTCTTATTGGTGTGCAAAATCTTTTTATTAGTGTAGAAGGATTGAGAAATAGATTGAAAATGTTCTGTTTTAATAAGAACAATAAAAGTCCAAAACCTTTTGGTATTTATTAATGATAGATTGTTTTAATTGAATTTATTATCTGACAGTGAGCGTCAATAGTGGTTTATTCACCTGTGTTCTTGAATTTGGGGTTCTGCATTGTCATTGTTAATGTGACTTGGAGCTACATGGTAAATAGCTGAAGTTTATTATAGGAAATGCCTTGGATACTGAGCTTTAATGTTCCACACTACTGCACCACGATTGCCATGTGGTGATTGCTTCCCAAACTCTATGCATGAAGTTTATGATCCCAGTGAACATGCTGAACCCATCAGCATTTGTGGGATCAGTGCGAGTGTACCTCATTATCATGCTGCAATTCCATAGCACCTACAGCACCAATCTGCTTATTACTGTGTCCCATGCACCTTATCTCCCAAAAGTCTCTCCCCAACCCTAGACATTGTCCTATTCATCCCCCTAGAAGGACAGCTGATCAGCAAAAAAGGGTATTACAGTCCCTCAATTTTTCTGATTGTCTTGCTGTTTTCCTGCAGATATGGAGATCTCATCTGCTTGCTGTGCGAGTTTGGATTATGTCGTCACATACCTCTTCAAACAGCTGGCAAAAAGTAACAAAAAATCTCTGAGAATGAGACAGGTGGCACAAGAAGGGGAACGATTGCTATGCACCATGCAGCAGAACCCTGAGATTCTACAACAGGTAACTGGTATTTATGAAAACTGCTGAATCAGGTAACAGAGAAATTCCAGCATCATATGAGTCTTTGACATCAAATAACATAGGTTGCCATTTTACCCTATGTGTTTATAACACCAATTAAACTTTATTACGCTAATGTCTATTGATGATCATCCCTGCTATTGAAGACATTTGCCATCTGAGAATACTTGTTCAGTCACCTTTCACTCTCCCTATATTTCAGTGATGCTTAATAACTGTGATTAATTTATTTTTATATTGATACATCTAAAGTACCTCCAGTAAGATAAAAGATAAGATAAATCAGAACTCATTGAATACGTAACACCAGACTTAGGATTTACAAAACTCTGAATTCTTGGAAGAAAGGATCACTGAGAAATGGGGAGGCAATGGCTGGAATGGAATTATCACTAAACTATTAATCTAGAAGCCCAACTAATGTTCTGGGGACCTAGGTTCAAAATTGAATTCAGTAAAAGTCTGGATTTAAGAATCTAATGGTGACCACAGAACAGGAAAAACCCTGATTCACTAATGTCTGCCATCCTTACTTGGTCTTGCTTGGTCTCCCACTCTACCAATAGCATCAAACCAGGGTATCAACCCTGGTTCAATGGAAAGTGCAGGAGAGCATGCCAAGATCACCACTAGGCATACCTAAAAATGAGATGTCAACCTGGTGAGGCTATAAAACTGGACTACTACTGCATGCCAACAACAGAAGCAGCAAGTGACAAACAGAGCTAAGTGATTTTACAACCGACAGATCAGATCTAAGCTCTGCAGTCCTGCCACATCCAGTCATGAATGGTGGTGGACAATTAAATAACTCAATGGAGGAGGCGGCTGAACAAATATCCCCATCCTCAATGAAGGAAAAACCTAGCACATCGGTGCAAAAAATAAGGCAGAAGTATTTGCAAAAATCTTTAGCCAGATGTGCTGAGTGGATCATCCATCTTTACCTCCTTCAGTCATCCCCAGCATCACAGATGTCAGTCCTCAACCAATTTGATTCACTTCTAGTGATCTCAAGAAACACAGGATACTGTATAAAGGCTATGGACCCTGACAACATTCTGGCAATAGTACTGAGGACTTGTGCTCCAGAACATGCCACATTTTTAACCAAGCTGTTCCAGTACAGCTAAAACACTGGCATCCACCTGACAATGTGGAAAATTGCCCAGGTATGTCCTGTACACAAAAAGTAGGACAAATCCAACTTGGCCAATTAGTGCCCCTTCAGCCCACTTTTGATCATCAGTAAAGTAATGGAAGATGTGATTAATGGTGCTATCAAGCAGTATCTGCTCAACAGTATCCTGCTCACTGACGTCCAGTTTGGGTTCTGCTAGGGCCAATCAGCTCCTCACCTCATTATAGCTTTGGTTCAAACATGGCTGAATTTAAGTGGTGAAGTTAAAATGACAGCCCTTGACATCAGGGCCACGTTTGACCAAGTGTAGCATCAAATAACTTTAGCAAACTGGAATCATTGGGAATGGAGGTGGGGCAGGGTGCGGAGAACTCACCGCTGGTTGGAGTCATTCTTGGTACATCAGATGATGGTTGTGGTTGTTGGAGGTCAGTCATCTCAGCTTCAGGGCATCTTTGCAGGTGTTCCTCAGGATAGTGTCCTCGGTCTAACCATCTTCAGCTACTTCATCAATGACCTTGACTCCATCATAAGGTCAAAAGTGAGATGTTCCCTGATGATGGCACAATATTCAGCAGCATTCATGACTCCTTGGATATTGAAACAGTCCATATTCAAATGCAGCAAGACCAGGACAATATCCAGGCTTGGTCTGAAAAGTGGCAAGTAAAATTCACGCTACACAAATGCCAGGCAATAACTGTCTCCAGTTAGAGACAATTTAACCACCGCCCCACGATATTCAGTGGTGTCACTATAATTGAATGCTCCACTATCAATATCCTGGGGTTACCATTGACCAGAAACTCAACTGGATTCACAATATAAATACAGTGGTTACAAGAGCAGGTCAGAGGCTAGGAATATTGCAGCAAGTCACTCTCTTCCTGACTGTCCAAAACCTGTCCACCACCTACAAGGCTCAAGTCAGGAGTGTGATGGAATACTTGCCTGGATGGGTGCGGCCTGAACAATACTCAAGAAACTTGACAGCATTCAGAGCAAAGCAGCCTGCTTATTTGGCACCACACCAAAAAGCATCTTCTCCCTCCATCACTGACAGTCGGTAGCAGCAGTGAGTTATTTTACAACATGCATTGCAGAAATTTACCAAAGATCCTCAGACAGCATATTCCAAACTCACGACCACTTCCATCCAGAAATACAAGGTCAGCAGCTACACAGGAACATGATGACCTGCAAGTTCCCGTCCAAGCCACTCATCATCCTGACTTGGAAATATATCCCTGTTCCTTCATTGTCACTGAGTCAAAATCTAGGGATTCCCTACTTAACAGCATGTGGATCTACTTATAACACAGGACTGCAGCAGATCGAGAAGGCAGCTGTCCACACCTTCTCAAGGGCAACACTAAGAATGGGCAATAAATGCTGGCTCAGCAAATGGTGCCCATGTCCCGCACGTGAATTTTTAAAATTCTGTATTTTTGAGTCCTAGCAAGAAATTAGTTGCAGTATGAAATGGTTCAATGTGGTACGCTTCCAATACAGACACAATGCAGGAAAGAGGAAGAATTTGGAGGACAGTATGCTTGAAACTTGATAGAAACAAAGAAGGATGTTCACAGAAGCACAAAACAAAATAACATTGACGGAATAGAAGGACATGATGTCATTGTGGAAAATTGAGGATTGACGTAGGAGAAGGATTGTCTACTCCCATATGTATTTCAGTGGTACACTTGTGTAATTTGATTTGATTTGATTTATTATTGTCACATGTACCAAGATACAGTGAAAAGTATTGTTTTGCGTGCTATCCAGACAAATCATACTTTACATAAGAACATCAGGATAATAGAACAGAATGCAGAATATAGTGTTACAGCTACAGAGAAGGTGCAGAGAAAGATCAACTTTAATATATGAGAGGTCAGTTCAAACGTCTGATAACAGTGGGGAAGAAGTTGTTCTTGAATCTGTTTGTACATGTTTTCAAACTTTTGTATCTCATTTTCCCAATGGAAGAGTGTGGAAGAGAGTATAACCGGTTGGGAGGGGTCTTTGATTATGTTGGCTGCTTTCCTGAGGCAGCGGGACGTATAGATGAAGTCCATGTGTGGAAGGCTGGATTGCATGATGGACTGGGCTGCATTCACAACTCTCTAATTTCTGGTGGTCCTGGGCAGAGCAGTTGCCATTCCAAAGGCAATGCTAACAATGGGGACTAAATGCTGGCTCAGCAAACGGCGCCAATGTTACACAAGTGAATTTTTAAAATTCTGTGATGCATCCAGATAGGACACTTTCTGTGGTGCATCTATAAAATTGATAAGTGTCATTGTGGACATGCCAAATTTCCTTAGTCTTCTGAGGAAGTAGAGACAGTGGTGTGCTTTCTTGACTTGTAGCATTGACGTGGATGGACCAGGACAGATTGTTGGTAATACTTAATCCTAGGAACTTAAAGCTCGCGACCATCTGCACCTCAGCACCATTGATACAGACACTCTGCTTCATGAAGTCGATAACCAGCTCCTTTGATTTGCTGACATTGAGGGAGAGATTGTTGTCTTTACACCATGCCATTAAGCTCTCTATATCTTTCCTGTACTCTGTCTTGTTGATGTTTAAGATCCCATCCATTACAGTGGTGTAATCAGCAAACTTGTAAATGGAGTTAAGGTAGAATTTGGCCACATAGTTGTGAATGTATAAGGAGTATAGGAAAGGGCTAAGTACGCAGCCTTGCAGGGAGCAGTGTTGAGGATTATCGTGGAGGAGGTGTTGCCGCCTATCCTTACTGATTGCGGTCTGTAGGTCAGGAAGTCAAGGATGCAGTTGCAGCATGAAGAGCAGAGTCCTAGGTCTCTAGGTTTGGAGATGAGCTTACTTGTAATTATGCTGTTAAAGGCTGAGCAAAAGTCAATAAATAAGAGTCTGACATGGGTGTCCTTGTTAACTAGATGTTCCAGGGATGAGTGAAGGCCAGGGAGATGGCATTTGCCATGGACCTGTTGCAACAGTAGGCTAATTGCAGTGGATCATGGCTATGTGGGAGGCTGGAGTTGATGTGTGACATTACTAACCTCACACGGCACTTTATAATGGTCGATGTCAGAATCACTAGGTAGTAATCATTAAGGCACGCCACCTGATTTTTCTTTGGCAAGGGGATGATAGTAAGCAGGTGGGAACCTCAGATCAGAGTAAGGAGAGATTAAAGATGTCTGAAAATATTCCCAAACTCTGGTCCATACAGAATCTGAATGCACAGTCAGGACTCCATCTGGGCCAGCTGCTTTCTGTGAATTCACTCTCAAGAAGGCCAATCTGATGTTTGTGGCGGTGACTGTGGGTACAGGTGCACCTGAGGCTATCGAGACAGGTGACATCATTTCACTGACCTTCTGTTCAAATTGAACATAGAATGCATTGAAGTGATCGGGGAGGAATGCATTGTTGCCAGCGATTCTACTCGACTTCACTTTGTAGCGTGTTATATCGTATAAGCCTTGTACTTGGCAGCTATGAGTTCACATACCATCATGACAGAAGAGGGGAGTTTAAATCTTTAAATATAAATCAAAAATACAAAGCTAATTTCAGTAATCATGGTTCTCAGGAAACTGGGTTGTTATTAAAAACCCACCTTTTATCAGACATTTTTGCACAGTCTGATGTATATACATCTCCAGACTGACAACAATAACATGGGTTAATTTTTGACCATCCTCTGAAGTAGTTCAGAAGTCACTCAATTATATTGAACCACTGCAAAAGAATTGAATATGCATAAAATCAAATGGACCATCTGGCATCGACTGTGGCATCAGAAAGAACAAGGACAGACTCTTACCAATCGACCCTGCAAACA